CGATACAAAGACAGACATATGCACATCAGTTATCCAGCTTCCTCATGCGAGTTTTTTAATGCAGCTTCCTGCCATCAGCCCCTTGCAGATACCGTTTTCCTTCCCACACCATCAGAGGACTTTTGGAGGGCTTCAAAAAAATCAGTGCAAAGCTCACAGGAAATACACAAACAGATGCTGTTTTGTCCCAAGTATATTGCCTTTCCACAGCTCCATCTGAATGTCATAGCTAGTAACTACCGACAGACCTTTCCTGAGCTCCTTCTTTGGTTAGGTAGAAGGCATTTAACAAGTTCCTCCAGGTATGTAAGAGCCTTGCTGAGGTATTTTGCACCGCACGAGCCACCAAGAACTGGCTGAAAAGCACCATCTATGTCATACCTTTATTAGGGCCAAGCTAATGACACATAGCAGAGTGCAAGCTTTTGGGTTCCCCAGAACTCTTAATCAGGCCAGATGTTCCAAAACTGCAAGACTTAATGCATTTTTGCAGGGCCTGCAAAAGCGGAGATGTTCTGCCAAGTCTGTGGTTGAGGCGGCATAGATTTGACAATATTGGCTTCTCCTGGTGTATTTTCTATCTTATACTCAGGGCGTGATCACACGTATAATTAGACCCGCCATAGGCGTGAATGCCAGGCGGATTTAAAGGGCACAATCAGACACGAACATCTGGGAAGCCCCCTGGACCCGTTGGCAACCGGTTTTGCTCCACCGCACAAGCGGAGTAAAAAGACACTGGGGAAAATCCGGCAGTAAACGGGTTGTGACGGGCCACGGACGGAGTTTGCCATGTCTGATCGCTCCAGCGTGTTCTCATGGCATCCTGATTCTGTGCCGTTGTCCCCCCCCCTTCTCAGTATGCGCATCATCGTAAACTCCATAGGGAGCCCTCAGTGCAGAGATGCGATTCATTGATTCCTAGTTTAAGCGCATTGGAAACAAACAGCAACACCACCCCCGTGACTCACCCGCAGTTGCATCTGATCATGCAGTGGCAGACTGTGCCCGCAGCTTCCAAGGAGTCGGACTGTGTGATCGCACAACTGCGAGTCAAATTCCTCTGGAGGAAATAGCCTCGCTTCCCCCCTGCTTTGTCTCGCGTGTGTGACCACCCCCTCAGTCGTCTCCTCACTCGCTCATTACTAGATACCAGGGGTCGTTTCGTAGAAAAAGAGCTAGGGGAACTCATTAGCATAACTCATTCAAATACATTAGAAACAGGAAACCAGCCAGGGAGGGTCATAAGGCCACGGACGACCAAGGGGTAAAAGGAGTATTGAAGGATGATAGGGAAATGGCTGAGAAGCTAAATGCATTTTTTGCCTCCGTCTTCACTGTGGAAGATGAGAAGTGCTTGCCCACTCCAGAACCACTGATTTCAGGAGGGGTGTTGGAAGACCTGAGTCAGATTGAGGTGACGAGAGAGGAGGTCCTAAAACTGATAGACAACTTAAAAACTGAAAAATCACCAGGCCCAGATGGCATACATCCGAGAGTTCTGAAAGAACTCAAATGTGAACTTGTAGATCTCCTGACAAAGATATGTAATCTTTCCTTAAAATCTGCCTCCATTCCTGAGGATTGGAAGGTAGCTAATGTCACTCCCATCTTTAAAAAGGGTTCCAGGGGAGATCCGGGAAATTACAGGCCAGTCAGTCTGACGTCGATACTGGGTAAATTGGTGGAAACCATTATTAAGGAAAGAATTAGTAGGCACATAGATGAACAAAACCTATTGAGGCAGACTCAGCACGGTTTCTGTAAGGGAAGATCTTGTCTCACTAACCTGTTAGTGTTCTTTGAGGGGGTGAACAAACATGTGGACAAGGGGGATCCAATAGATATTATTTACCTTGACTTCCAGAAAGCTTTTGATAAAGTTCCTCATCAAAGGCTCCTAAGTAAGCTCAAAAATCATGGGATAGAAGGACAAGTCCTTTTATGGATCAAAAACTGGCTAGTTCATAGAAAACAGAGAGTGAGTGTAGGTGGGCAATTTTCTCAGTGGAGGGTGGTAAGCAGTGGGGTACCGCAGGGATCAGTACTTGGTCCACTGCTTTTTAACTTGTTCATTAATGATTTGGAGATGGGAGTAAGCAGTGAAGTGGCTAAATTTGCGGATGATACAAAGTTGTTCAGGGTGGTGAAAACCAGTGAGGATTGTGAGGCACTCCAAGGGGATCTGTCAAGGATGGGCGAGTGGGCGTCAACATGGCAAATGGGGTTCAATGTGGCCAAGTGCAAGGTGATGCACATTGGAGCCAAAAATCCTAAATATAAATACACATTGATGGGGTCTGAACTGGCAGAGACTGAGCAAGAGAGAGATCTTGGAGTTGTAGTGGATAACTCACTGAAAATGTCGAGACAGTGTGTGACTGCAATAAAGAAGGCCAATGCTATGCTGGGGATTATTAGGAAGGGTATTGAAAACAGATCAGCCAATATAATAATGCCCCTATATAAATCAATGGTGAGACCTCATTTGGAATACTGTGTGCAGTTCTGGGCACCACACCTTAAAAAGGATATTATAGCTTTGGAAAAAGTGCAGAAAAGGGCAACTCGAATGATAAAAGGGTTGGAACACTTTCCCTATGAGGAAAGGTTAAAGCGCTTAGGGCTCTTTAGCTTGGAGAAAAGACGACTGAGGGGTGACATGATCGAGGTTTATAAGATTATGCATGGGAAAGAGCAGGTAAAGAAAGAGGTACTTTTCTCCCTTTCTCACAATACAAGAACTCGTGGGCACTCCATGAAACTGCAGAGCGGTCGGGTTAGAACGGATAAAAGCAACTTACCCTCCCTCTTCTCCTGCCTCCTCCTGGCTAAATGAGGGCCGGAAGCGGGGCGGCCGAAAGCAGGGGGCGGGGCTTCGTCATGTGCCCCGCCCCCTGTACCTCACCCGGGGGAACTGCGATCCCCCGCGATCCCCCCCGAAATGACCTCTGCTAGATACCATCTACAGTGCACATATGTGGTGCTGACTCAGGAATACTAGTTTTAAATGGCACCATAAATGGTATCAGAAATGACACTGTAGTTAGATTTTAATAACGGTAGATATTAGGTTCATTAATTGTATTGTTATTATATGACTGTGTTTTATCATGCCTTGGTGTTCAGTCATGCCGGCCACATGACCATGGAAACGTCTTCGGACAGCGCTGGCTCTTTGGCTTTGAAATGGAGATGAGCACTGCAACCCTAGAGTCGGATTTGACTGGCTTTTGAGCAAGGGAACCTTTACCTTTACCCCACCATGAGCCTTGCATTGCAGGGGAGGGCCGGCTAGAAATCAAATCAATAAATAAAAAAGATGGGGAAAGCTGATATTTCAGGTCATCACGATGATCTCAAGACTCTTGTGCCACGATATGATGGAACTTCTGACAGGCAAAGAAGACTGGGTTTCAAGTTTCTGCTGGCCAGGGGCCATTAAAGCAAAAGGCAATAGAACAATTAACCTCCACAGCACCAACTTGAAAGTCAGTCTTCTTTGCCTGTTAGAAGTTCCACCAAATCCTGGCATGAGAAGATCTTAAGATCATCATGATGACCTGAAATAAATCTTTTCCTCGCTGTCATGATCAGTGTAGGACTGGGAGACAGGCCTAGTGCGGCCTAGGCCCAGGAGACCTGTGTGGGAGTAGAAAGCAGACACAGCCTACAATCCCCACAATGCTTAGTGACGGTTGTAACCAATCGGTGTCCAGGGATTGTGTGAGGAGATTGTCACTTATACTTTGTGGGCTGTGGAACTGGGTTCTTTTCACTACTGCATTCTTCCATCTCACAGAGTTAAACTGAGGGGACAGTCTGGTCTGAGAGAAAGATCCCTCACTTGGGACAGAGTGAGTACAGGCACAGGCCTGGTATAAAAGGCTGTGGGCCTTGAATAGTAACCAGTTAAGAGAAATAGGTAGTTGTGTTAGATTCGTTTATTTTGCCTTTAGATACTGTTATATATTTTAAGCACCTTGTCTTGTTTTCCTTGCCCCGTTACTGTATTACTAAACTATTTGTTTAATATTCTTTGCCTGGTCATCACACCTATATTTCTTGGCTTAAAAGGGGCATTTTTGGTTGGGCTTGGGAGGGTACTGTGGGCCTTCCCTATGGACCCTAAGTCCAGAGTGGTGGCAGAGGAAGGTGGCAACCCACTAGGGGTCATGACACCCTCTTTAAATTTTTTGGGTAACATCTGGCCTGATGAAGAGTTCTGAGGAATCTGAAAGCTTGCATACTGTTATGCATCATTGGGTTGGTCGTAATAAAGGTATGACAAGGATGATGCTTTTGGCTTTTGCTTTTAGACCAATGTGGCTGTAAGCGACGATTCAGTGCTGTCAAAGTTGCTTTTTTGAAGGATTGTATAGCAGGAAGAGCCCTGACCTGGATAGCCCAGGCTAGTCCGATCTCATCAGACCTCAGACACTAATCAGGGTCAGCCCTGGTCAGTATTTGGAAGGGAGAACATCAAGGTATACTGGTGTTATGATGTGGAGGCAGGCAATGGCACACCACCTCTGAATGTCTCTTGCCTTAAAACCCCCCTGGGCTAGCCATATGGCCAAAAAAAAAAAAGAAGAAGCAGGGGGACGTGTCACTAAGGGCAGCTTCTCCTGCCATGTGCTGCACTCCCATATGGTAACCTTTGGCTGCCACCTCTCCTCCGCATCCCTGCATTCCCAGCTGGCTGCTGAAGCTGACCCACCCCATGCTGTTTGCACCACCAGGCTTTGCCTAGTCCCTCCCTCATGTGCAAGGGCCCTTTGTGACAGAGCCATAGAGTGGGGTATGACTCCTCATCAGCTTCTGTGGCAAAACCACCAGAGGATTGGCTGGGGTCTTGTGCCACGCCTCCTCATCAGCTTCTGTGGCCAGAGGATTGGCTGGGGTCTTGTGCCACCAAGTTTCTAAACCTTTAGCTTTTAAACATTCTGCGTCAAAAGAGAACCCAGAAATCCAGCTGTTGTTCTTATCAGACAGGAAATTTTTATTCTATTTCACACTTCTGAGTATTACAGAAATAAAATCATTACAAGTGCCTTGTAATATTTAAGCTCCAAATGAAAATTAAAACCAAAGAAAAACAAAAAGCAAATGGTTCCCTCAACCCCCAAAAAACTTCCAACATTAGAAAGCAAAGTCACACATGATGCAACTGACAGTAAACATTTCTGTTTTAAAGAGCACAGGGGGTAAAAAAGAAAGAATGTTATATAAAATATGTTTGGGATTCAGGATTTAGCAGACACTTCTTGATCCAGTGACGGCACCGAGTCCATTTTGAACGCATGTGATTTTGAAAATATATAAGTGATACAAGTGATTACAAAAATCAACGTTATATTTTTAAAAAAGCAGATGGAGGAGAGAGAAAAAAATGAAGGGGAAAAAAACAACAACCCCAAAACAAAAACACAACAACATGTCTGTTTTATGGCAAACTCCAGATCCTTTGGCCACATGAAAACAAAGTCAGTGAGCTCTATATAAATTCTCTGTAGAAAGCAACGTTCATGATTCTCTATTATGGCCCATAACAAATGTCTCATTACCAGGCTAAGTAAGGTTCCTCACAGAGGAAAAAAAACCCCAAGGTGCTTGTTTCACAGTTTTTATACTCCCCGATAAAATACAGTCCGGAATTGGACGAATGCCCCCAAAATACCTTTCCGGGAACATCACACATTCCTTTATTGGAAAGGAAAAACAAACTGAAAAAGAGAGAGAGAGAGAGAGAGAGAGAGAGAGAGAGAGAGAGAGAGAGAAGGGACCCGCTGAGCCCCACTGTGGAAGCTGGCTGCGTCTATTGCGCACTCGTCTTCAGGACAAAGTCTGTGTGGTTCACTGGCAGCGGGTGGGCTTCAGTGTTGAACACCCAGTCCTCGAGAGACAGCACATCATCTTCACAGAACAGAAGATACAGATACCTGCAATCAGGGGAGAAGAGATATCAAGGCACACTCAGAGGAAACAGCTTGCTCTGTCTTAGACAATGGTGCACCAGTAAGTACTGCTAAGCAAACTGAGCCAGTAATTTTCAAATTGCATGGGATTCCTTGGAAGGACGTCATGGTTTTCTCAGTAAGAAGGTCCATTAAGGGGAGGCATGCTTCTCTGAAAGACAGCTTGCCCACCACAGAGAGCCAGTTTGGTGTGGTGGTTAAGAGTGGTGGACTCTAATCTGGGAGAGCAGCTGCTGGTGTGACCTTGGGTCAGTCATAAATTCTTTCAGAGCTGTTCTCTCAAGGGCAGTTCTCGAGAGAGTTCCCTCAGCCCCACCTACCTCACAGGGTGTCTGTTGTGAGGAGGGGAACGGAAAGGAGACTGTGAGCCACTCTGAGACTCCTTCAAGTAGTGAAGGGCAGGGTATAAATCCAATCTCTTCTTCTTCTTTTCCTCTTCTTCCCTCTTCACAGGTGATTTGCTGCAACATGGCTTGGACAACATAAGAAGGGCAGGTCTATTGCTGACTGTTAGCCATGGTAGCTGAATGAGACCCTTCAGGCACAGAGACAGAATGCCTCTGATTGGCTGAATAGTAGCTAGCAGGTGAAGGCTATTGCCAATAGGCTCTGATCGTAGGCTTCCTTGCACAGCACCTGATTGGCTACAGTTGGAAAGTGGAGTACATGGACCACTGGTCTGATCTAGCAACAGGTACTATTATGTTGCTTCAGAGTATGGCGGAGTGTGTTCTTGGATGGACTCTCCGCTCATGCTGAGTGATGGTGAGGGCTAAACAGCTCTGCCAGTGAACCTGTTTGAATCGTGTGTGTACCCAAATATGGTCCCAGAATTCTCTGCAGCACACACAGGTTCCTCAGCAGACAAGTTCATGTGGAAGGTTTCCTTGAAGGTAGCAAGTTGAGGGGAAAAATAAACACATTGGCCGACTGTAACATCTTCAATCTCCTGATTTGTTACCATGTCTGACACTTCTCACCTAAGGTAGCCTTTTGTGGCCCAAAAAGAATGCAGCCCACCACCCACACATGGCCACTCAGCAGGCACTCTGTAAACTTCCTCTTTTGTTTGTTTTTTGCTGCCTCCATGAGATGGGGCCAGGGATGGGCAGAGGATGGCAAGTCAAGCACCTGGTAGGCATGAATGACAGCTTGTGTCTGGTTTGGCCGGCCACCAATTATGACAACCGTATGAAGTGAGAAGTGAGAGAAGAGCCCATGAACAATTAGGGGCTTCTACACTATCTCTAATATGAAACACAGAAAAAGGTATGGAGGGTGGGGTTTTTTTATGCAAAAGATGGATCCTCTGCAAATGCTCTGCATCTGCTTATCTCATTTAAACTGCTCAAACAAGATTTGATTGTAACATTTAAGCACCTCGATGTGAACGGAACCATTCACTATTGAAGTGTTCTTTAATCTTGCAGGGCTCTCATTAAATCGTGCACAATGGCATACCGTAATGGATTTCTACTTGCATTCATTGCTCTGCTGATAACAGGAACCAATAGCCAGGAGTTAAAAGATGGACCCCTGGTCCATGGGGTCGCGAAGAGTCGGACTCGACTGTGCGACTGAACAACAACAAAAAAGATGTCTAACCCAAATCAGAAGAAATGTTCAGGATAAGAACAAAGTATGATTAATGACTGGACAAGACCGTATAAAAAGCCTCATCCTAATCAGCCTCTCTGTGCAATATCTCTGCATACTCTAGTAATATTCATAATAATTTTTTAGTACCTTTATTGCCCACTTTCTGTACAATATTCATAATAATTATTTAGTACCTTTATTGCCCACTTTCTGTATTATGGTATGTTGTGTCCTAAACATTATTTTCCATTCCCGTTTGCATTGTTACCCAATTCTGTAATCCTAGTCCTACTGCACTGTCTGGTTGTTTGACATTCTGTATTCCACCTTGAAACTCATCAAGAAAAACAAGGAAATAAATAACTAAATAAATACACACAATGTGCATTATGCTTGCTCGGAGGTCCTTGGAAAGACTCTATCCCATCAACGAAATACACACAATGTGCACTATGCTTGCTCTGAGGTCCTTGGAAAGACTCTATCCCATCAGACTACAAATCAAGGATCCCGTTTTGGAATGCTCCCCTATGCTTACAAAAAAAATCCACACAAGCAGAAAGTCAGCACAGCAAGGAAAAATGGGGAGGGAGAAGCTCTCTCCTTGCTGTGCTAGCTTTCTATTGGCAGGGAGGGTTTTTTAATGCGAAGGAGTCTTTGGAACTCGAATCTACCATCTGTAGTGGTGCCGTCCATCCGACCACGTCATTCTTCAGTACGTGTAAACCAGGCTTCCGATTAGGCTTTCCTGATCCCTGGCAAGTCAACAACAAAAAGCAGGGGAAACTGCCTCTTTCTGTCCAAAGATCTTCACAGTCCTCAGCAACTTACTTTAATGTCTCTGCGAGGAAAAAACTCTGTTGCATGTTGTCGTGACTCGGGTTGGTGGTATAAACATCTCGGATCCCAGAGAAACCAGCTTCTACACGGCAATATTTCTCGAGCGCCTTGTTGGGGGGAGGGGTGGGAGAGGAAAAGAAAGGCAAATTTATTTCAGTAACACAGAGCAGTGAATGAGTAATTAGTTCATCACAATCAGCAATTTTTTATAAAGCTGAGCAGGTTTACTAGTTTGATTCAGGTTTTATGGAGGGGATACGCATTGGAAAGGGTTTTTTTTTTAATTACCCTCGGAAACAGGTTGGCCTTGAAGAACTGAGAGCTGGGAGTGGGGAGGCTCTGACAAATGGCACTTTCTGTTATATCCAAAGTTCAACAGCCTTCAACAATGGGCACTGAGGAGACGTTTCCCAAAATATTTTACAGTTTTCTGGCAGTGATCTGAGTAAGACGGTCTCAAATAGATTCGATGGCAGTGTGCACATAGCTCTGTGATCAGTGGTGGCCCAATCAGGAATGTCAGGATTACAACCGGGGACCCATCAGAGCAAGTTTTTCACTCTACAGGAAATAAGCCTATTAGGGCTGCAGGTTGGAGTCTTCCTAGACTCCACCCAGCCACTGGCTCCTGAGTGACCTGGAAGAACCATAAAAGCTTCCGGGTCAGGCTGGGTTAACACAGGAGACTGATGGCACCTTACATACTAACAGAATTTATGCTGTCTGGTTTTTGTGACTCACTTCATCAGATGTATGACTTGTAGATCCATTAGGCTGATAATATTTACACTATAAAATGCAAGCCAGACAAGCAGGAGTAGGGAGATGTTACAAAGAGAGGTCAGGCTGAGACTTTTCCTGGGCAAGAAGAGCACAGAGGAAAAAAGCCGAGAGGTGCACACTCTCGTACTCCATGTTGTTGTTGTTTTAAACTTAACAGTTTTCCATTCTACTTTCCAGTGCAAAGTATGTAAGTGTTTCACCACAGAAATGTAAAAGCATTAGACTGTATGCTTTTTGGGGACTGATTTTGAGTCCTGTGTTTTGAAGGAGACATGTACATATCCCCGTTCCCCACCCAATATTTCCAGTGATCAGGGTATTGTGGACCCTCTTCCTTCTTTCTAGCTAATGTGAGAGTCGCTGGAGTCTAAGCCCACGGAAATCAATTGGCTCAGACTGGAGTAACTCTGCATAGGATTGATCTATTGGAGGAGTAATGTATCAATATCCAATTTTCAAGTTTTCCTAGCAGTTTGGGCATCTCCCGGCTATTCGTGCATCAACATTAATGGGCAGGCTGTGCTTTGGGGAGAGGCTGTCATTCAGTCAGGAGAGCATCTGCTTTGCACGCAGAAGATCCCAGGTTCAATCCATGCCATCTCCAATGAAAAGAATCAGGTAACCAGTCATGTGAAAGGTCAACCATGGCCAATGTTCCCTCTAAGCTGTGGAGTCTTGTGAGCAAAGCATCTACTTTGTGAGCTACGGGCATTAAAGTTGTGGGTTGAGCGATTTGGGTACTGCAGACATTAGTCTGCTCTGGAGCCCTCCTTCCTGAGCCAAGACAGAAATGTGTGAGCCAGAGGCTAAAAAACTGTGAGCTGGCTCACACTAGCTCAGCTTAGAGGGAACACTGACCATGGCGCCCTTGCCCCCTAATCCTTCCAAGAGGCACCAGGTCCCCTCCAAAGCTGCAACAGCAAACGCCGGTACCAACCATTTCACCACAAATGCATTCCTCTGTCTAGGGAAGGAGAGGAGGGGGTTAGCAAAGGATACATGGTGGCTGACCATACCTCGACAACTTCCCATCCCCACTGCCTGTACTTAGGATCGTGTGTCAATCTCCACATGTACAGGTAACTTTCAACAACTTCGGGACGCAGAATGTAATAGCGATCGCTGAGCCGGGTGGCCACTGCTTCCGTGCCAGAATCAAAGCGAAATGCTTCTGGGCCCAGCTTGGAATCTAACAAAAGTAGACAAAAGACATTCAGAGGAGCTGGGAACTTTGATGTTCATTGCATCTGAGAAGCAAAAGTATCGATTAATCTTTCTGTGAGCAGACAATACATAGCACACTACACACACACACAAACACAGGCAACTAACAATCAGAGATCTCCCTCCTCCTGCAAATCTGAGCGCACAATTAATCTTTCTGTGAGCAGACAATGCATAGCACACTACACACACACAGAAACACAGGCAACTAAGAATCAGAAATCTCCCTCCTCCTGCAAATCTGAGCGCATCCTTAATAGTAAAATACTGAACGTAACAGCAAAGCTCCTCAGAGAACTGGGGTTGATCCTGAGCCCCAGTCAGTGATAGTAATGGGCAGTTTTTCTGCCACTCCTGTCTTCAGAACAGTCTCTTATTTCTACAGCACCCATTAGCAGGTGGCATTGTTTCTGATCTGCCCTGGGGCACAGGTGATCAGTGTCAAGCTTGAGCCAAAAGGCATGGGGCAAAAGGAGCCACCTTGATCCAACAGCCCACGAAGCAATAACAGCCTAGAGCTACTTTCGACCTTCAGCCTAGCAAAAAAGGACAATCTGAGTCTCCCTGGTGCCTGTCAATTTCCTTTCCATGCTCGTGTTCTGAGTCCGTTTTACGTCTGCTTAGCTGCTTCCATCTGATCCCACAGGAAAAGGCTCGGAGGTTTAAGAGCTCTGGGAACTGCTGAATATTTCATTAGTTCTAAAGCAGTTAACTTTGGAGAGAGAAGGCCTTGGAAACATCCCAGTGGGACCAGTCAAGCCAGCCAGTGCGTTGCCTTCTCTACCTGGCATTGTGGCGGTTCAGGACAACAACAAGCAATCAATGATAGGGATGTTAACTAAGGCAACTTCACATTTGCCATGGAGATTGCGACTGCTGCGTACATTTTGGAATTATGTTGATGCCTCTGTGTGCCAAGTGTGGAACATATGAATGATGGGCACCTTATCTTTAGACACAAATGTCCAAGCTTCTGTGAACCTGGGGACCCCACATTTGTATTTTGTGTGTGTGTGTGGGGGGGTTGTTTTGTTTTTTTGCTCTCAGGTCACAGCTGATGTATGGCAACCCCACAGGTAGTCTCCAATCCAAGTACTAAGCAGGGCTGGCCCTGCTTAGCTTCGGGGATCCTATGACATAAGGCTAGCCTGCGCTATCCAGGCCAGGGTTTACACATTTGTGTAAACATTCTAATACCACATATTTGTCCCTTCACATATTATATGACTAATGTAGGAAACACTGGTGTAACACCAAACATTCCCAAAACAACTACATGTGCCAACTTTACCAGGAAGGGGTTTGCTGCCTAGGGTTTTTTGTTTTGCTTTGTTCTATCACACACACACACACACACACACACACACACACACACACACACACTATCCAGGCCCATTTTCTATTGCTCAAAGGCCTTAACAAACAGACCTACATAAAGGATTTGTGTTATACCTAAAAACAGCAGCCAGGTAAAACGAGAAGGAAACTCAACCATAACTTTTAATAACTGACAGGAAAATTAATGACCACCACCTACATTCAGTCTACAATCAGCAGCACAACTGTTCAAAACTGCTCCAATGGCTTCCAGTGAACCTAATATTGGTATCCAGCCATCAACCGACATAAACTGGTCTGTGGCCTTGTGAAGACCGTCAACAAATGGCAACGATGGGACAGGGTATACCAGTGCTCTTGGGGAGGGGAAAGTATCGTGGTGGGGTCAGGCAAAAAATGAAGGGAAGGGAACAGAGAAATAGAGAAGCTCAGCTACCTTCCAGCCTATGCCCCATACCAAAGGTGGCAGTCAGTGGGGCTAGGATTAATGACCCCTCTCTGTCACTGGTGCTGTGTAATGCCAGGTCCATAAATAATAAGATCGCAGTCCTTCGGGACTTCCTGCTGGAGCAAAATGTGGACCTGGTTTGCATGATGGAGACTTGGGTGCGAGATGGGGAGACCGTAGTGTTCTCGCAATTGGCTCCACCTGGGTTCTCCGTCCTCCACCAGTCACGGACCAAGGGGCAGGGGGGAGCAGTGCCTCTGTTCATATGGGAGGCTTCCTCCTTCAGGGTGCTCCTGCTGTTGAAGCTCATGGGCATAGAGTGTACTGGCTTTGTGTGGGACGCCGGGGAGAGTTTGGCTATTTGTTTAGTGTACTGACCGCCCAATGCACTGGCCGATGGCCTGTCATCCCTGGTTGAGGCCATGTCAGGCTGGGCATTGGAGTACCCTAGACTGATAGTCCTGGGTGACTTCAATGTCCATGCTGATGATGTGACCTCTTCACAGGCGGTGGACCTGGTGTCGTCCATGGCGGCACTAGGACTCTCTCAATATGCAATGGCCCCCACTCACCTAGCTGATCACACGCTTGATTTGATCTTTGCGGCGGGGGTTACAGTGGACCGGATTACTGCTATGGTAGTTCTATGGTTGGACCACCATGCCCTGAAGGCCCGTGTGAACATTGCACCCCAACCCTGTTTGAGGGGTGGGCGTATTTTAGCTCATTTGCGGAGCCAAATGGACCCTCAGCAGCTTCAGACGGTCCTGCGGGAACCTATGCCCCCTGGCGGCTTGTTAGATGAGCTGGTCGAGGATTGGCATGGCCGACTCTTGGCAGCCATCGATGAGATTGCTCCCTGATGCCCTCTGTGTCCTCGCTCTAAGTGGGCTCCTTGGTTTACCCAGGAGTTGCGGCTGATGAAATGAAGGCTCAGACAACTAGAGAGACAGTGGCGGTGCACCCACAATGAGGCAACAAGAGCATCTTATAGGATGTTTATGAGTTCCTATGAGATGGCAGTCAAAGCCGCAAAGAGAGAGTTCTACGCGACCATGGTTGCATCTGCAAGCTCACACCCGGCACAATTGTTTAGAACTATTTGGTCGTTAACTGATCTGCCACAGGGCAGGCCAAATGCTAGGGAATTAGATACTGGCTGTGAGGCTTTTGCAAGCTATTTTGCAGAAAAAGTCTTGTCGCTCTGCCGTGATCTCCCTGCCACAGTTGAGACAGTGAGCGAACTCGAGGCCCCATGCACGTCTTCTGGTACTATTCTGGATTATTTCAGTCCACTCAGTCTAGAGGAAGTTGACAGACTGTTCTCAATGGTACGTCCAACCATGTGCAGCCTTGATCTGTGCCCTTCATGGCTTATAAAAACTGGCTGTGAAGGGTTTTGAGGTGCCCTTAGGGATGTTATCAACAAGTCCCTCACTGAGGGACTGTTCCCAGGGGCACTCAAGGAAGCGATGGTCTGCCCTCTCTTAAAAAAAAACATCCTTGGACCCGGCCGAATTGGCTAACTACCAGAGCTGTGGCGATTTAGTTGCAGAGCTTTATGGATGACACTTCCATGCTAGACCCTTTCTAGTCCGGATTTCATCAGAGACGGCACTGGTCGCCCTCACAGATGACCTCTGGAGGCATCTGGATCAGGGTGGCACTGTTGTTGTTGGACCTGTCAGTGGCGTTTGACATCGTCGACCATCAGTTGCTGATCCACCGCCTCGCCAACACTGGGATTCAGGGGTGTAATGATTCCATGTTTTGCTGTGTGTGTGTCTTTAAATGTTGTTTGACTGCAGTAATGTAAGAAGAGTGATAGAAGGAGCTAAGTGTGATTTGATTGGCTGATGACTGAGAGTGTGGGAGGAGTTGTTCTGAGTGGAATCTGTGTGTGTGTCTTTTGAGAGCGAAGTGTGGAAGAGCTTTGAAGAGAGTCTGTGTGACTCTAAAAGTTTTGTGAGAGAGTCTATGTGGCAAAGAAACAAGTTGTGTCTAAACTGTGTGGTTAGACAAATGTTTTATCTTGTGTGTCTAAGAGAAAGATCTTAGCCAGTGTGGCTATATATATATATATATATATGAGAGAGAGAATATACTGAGTGTATAAGCCTGTCAGAGTGACGTCTGAGAGACTGTTTGTAACACCAAGTTTAGCCAGTTATATTTAGAAGTTCGTTCTCTTTTTCAGTAACAGTTCAAAATAACCAGAAACCTATTTTGTTCTTAATTAAATAAATCAATTTTTGTTTTAAAAACATCCCAGAAATCAGTACAGTACTTCCTCAGGGCCACATAGTCCTCTGAAGTGCCCAGACCCTAGGTCATACTACCAAAAGAGAGAGAATTGGAATTTTAATTCCTGGTGGCAGCAGAAAACTACCATGTTTATGTACTCCATGAGTGTTTAAAGGTAAAACTGTCTCCCCAAAAAGCAAGAACGTCACAAGGGGCTTGCCTTGCAATGGCTTGTCTCCTTTCTCCAAGGTTGGGGACAGAGGGTGACGCTATATCTACATGCGCCCCCTTGCCCAGAGGCACAGGCTAGTGGGTCACCAATATGCAGATGACACCCAGCTATATCTGTTGTTGGGCAGTCAGTCTGACTCTACCCCAAATGACCTGGATTGGGCGCTTCAGGATGTGGTGGGCTGGCTTAGACTGAGCTGATTGAAATTGAATCCGATGAAGACAGAGCTCCTGTGCCTGAGTCGAAGCAGGTCGGGGGTAGGGAGCCCACTTAACAATGGAGGCCCAGGTAGCAGCCACTGCCAAGGCAGCCTTTTACCATCTACAGCTGATTAGGCAGATGGTTCCCTTCCTCGAACGCAATGACCTGGCAACGGTGACCCATTCTATAGTCACCTCGAGATAGGACTACTGCAATGCTCTCTGCATGGGGCTGCCCTTGTCCCAAATCCGGAAGCTGCAGCTAGTGCAAAATGCACTATATGAGAGCACATTCGGCCTGTGCTGAAGGCATTGCACTGGCTGCCAACAGCATACCGGATTCGCTTCAAGGTGCTGGTTTTGACCTTTAAAGCCCTATATGGTCGGGGGCCTGCCTACTTGAGGGACCGCCTTTAACCATACATCCCCCAAAGAGCACTGAGGTCAGGGTCACAAAATCGCCTGACTCTCCCTGGTTCGAAAGACAACCAGATTGGCCGCTACCAGAGCTAGGGCCTCCTCAGTGGCGGCTCCACACCAGTGGAATGAGATCCTGGAAGACATCAGGGCCCTGCAGGACCTCTTACAGTTCCGCAGGGCCTGTAAAATGGAGCTCTTCCACCAGGCCTTCGATTAGGAGCCGCCACTGAGGAATGAGCTATTAAAAACTGAACTGCTATGGCCCTCATGTTATTGGCACTAAGAACAACTATGGATACTGGTCTAGCTACATGGGGTAGGAGGGGTAACATCTTTACCACCCCAACCTCTCCCACTGTGCGTAGGATGTTATTTGAGAGTTTATTTATGCATCTGTAGTATTGATTTTAAATTGTTTTAACCTTGTATTTATATTTGTATCTGTAGTCTGTACACTGAATGCACATGGTGCCTTATGTTAGCCGCTCTGAGCCCGTTCGCGGGGAGGGCGGGGTATAAATGTAATAAAATAATAATAATAATAATAATAATAAGCAAAGCCAGTACTGTTCTGGTCATATCCTTGTTTAGATTTCCCATAGGCAGTTATTTGAAAAGATTTGACTCCAGGAGCTGCTGGAGAAAGCAATGCGTTTTCTTACTGCTTGAGAGCATCTCTATAATTTCTATGTCCTCCATGAATTGTGTGATTGAACAAATTATTGCTATTCTTCAAAAATTACCCATACAAATATAAGAACAAGAAGAATAGAAGCTCCTTAGAGCAGGAAACCCATGTTCTTCCATACTTATTCTATACAGCAGATTAACAGTGTCACACAAATAAATTCTAGGAGGCAAGCCCATCTGGGCAAGGTAGCCCACACCTTGAAGGTAGCCCACACCGACTGAGTGGGCGCAGCTCTGCTGCTGAAAGAGACTAACTGATCGTTTCAACAGGCAGCCAAAGTTTGTACTGATCTTCTTCTTAGAAGAGATTTTGCATTTACCTGAACGCACGTAAGACTCATGACAGGTATGTGTTATTTCTGCAGCCAGATCCATATAGTGCTGCTTCTGCTCTTCTGCTGTGTGCTGCCCTCCAAGAGCAATCATGCCACCCGAAAAGCAAGCCAAATGGCCCATCTTGTGGTCCAAGATGCCTCCTCGCCACTCAGCAATATATGTCAGTCCACCAGCAGACTTCTTCACCAGATTTTTTTCTATGGCCTACATTTATCAAGGAAGAAGGAAAATATGTTGTTGAAGGCTTTCACAGCTGGAGTTCATTAGTTGTTGTAGATATGCAAAATCCATGTACAAAGGAATCTCCTTAGGAAAGTTCCTTCATTAGCATGTCACAACCTGGGAACTCCTACAAGATAATGTCTCAGCCCTACCCTATCTTCCTGAGTAGATATAAATTATCTGCCTACCATTTTTCTTCTTACAATGACAGAGAGTACTCCATCTTTCTGTGTTATACCTCTGAGGATGCCAGTCACAGCTGCTGGAGAAACGTCAGGTACTACAATGCCAAGACCACAGCCATACAGACCAGAAAATCTACAACAACTAATGAAGAAGGAAAACATGCTGGATTTTTCAAAGGATATGGATACTGAAATATATACTCCTGCATGAGCAGCAAGATTCAATTTAATTTAGATATACACATACTGGTCAGTTTTCTGCAAACTTATTCTGGACAACTGGCAATGTAAAAAAAATAGCAGAGAACCAAAAACAAAACCAGCATTTGTGATGTTTATAGCACATTAAGACTTTTTTCAGTCCATTTCACGCTCATTATCATTAGCTGCCTTGAGAGGCGAATCATTACAGTCCCATTTGACACAGAGGATAGCAAGTGTGAATGAAGGCAAATGTATTGGTTTAAGTGCAGACACAGCAGGTTCTTTGCTGAGTAACTGTGCTTTACAGGCACACGCTTCACCAAACTGAATGCTGGATCAGCTGCCAGTCTTGTTCCCCTCCCCCAAGCATCAGGCAGGTATATGATTTTATTTTTATTCATCAAAAGTCATGGGCATGTGTGTTTCTTAGATTTTGTATGTGTGTGATGTGATGTCACAAGTGGTAGCCAATAGATACCCTGCACAGCAGGCTTTTTCTTCAGTTCAAATTCAACCACACTGAAAACGTACAGAACTGAGGCTGCGGTCACACGGAACATTAGCCACGCAAGAGAGACGGAAGACAGGTGGATTTTCCGGGTGCGATCTCACCGGCACATCTGGGAAGCGTAGCACTTCCGTGGCACAACCAAGGTTTCCTGCCGAAAACACGCAGCAAAAAACTAGTACCTCAGAGGTACTAGTTTCCGGAAACCGCGGGGCAAGGGCGGGCGTCTGATCGCGTTTCCGGTGGCATCCGGCGCCCGCCCATGTCCCCTTGCGAAAAAGGTTTTTCCCCCCCCAAGTCTCCGTGGATGCGCATACGCACCCAACGGAGCATGCGCATTCGGCGTGTACACAAAAAAAGAAAACCAGTTTTCCGCACCGCATGCTTCTTCGTTGCGCGCAGGCGTGTCCTGTGATCGGCACCTCTCCCTACCCACGGAACCTCCACAGTACCTCCACAGGAGGTCTGATCACTTAACCGCGCGTTGGTTTGCCCTGGGGCAAACAGCCACGCTCCCCCCCCCGCAGTTTCCTGCCCGTGTGACCGGAGCCTGAGTGTGTTTTTCCAGAGTTCACCCTGGAACAGAAGAAAACAGATGTTGGCAGCAAACTGGCCCCCACTATGAGGGCTCCAGCACACTGGCCCCCACTACTCTCTCTTTAAAAAAAAAAAAAAAAAAAAGCTCACCACTGCCTTCATATCAAGGCTGAAAGATGAGTGACTGCCTCAGGTCTGCCCAATGACTTCCTGGCTCAGGTAAGAGTTTGAATCCAAGCTCTGCAGTGGTTGAGGTGCTGCAAGACCGCCCTAGAACAACCTGGGCTTTCAATTTCTCTTCCAGAAACACAGCAGCTGAAGCAATAAAGCCAGATTCCTTTCTTACCTCTAGCGCATGGTCATACATGCTTTTCGCTTCAGTGTCCTGCTTGTCTGACATCAGCCATGATTTGATCAGGTATTCATAAAAACTGTCTCCAAGACCGCCAATGGAAACGTGGTCTGCAGTGGCAGGAAGAATAAAGCATTGCCTTGTGACTTCTGTGGTTGAAGAGAGGATTAAGCCAGGGGCCCTTCCAGGTGATTAAAGCTTAGGATATGCAGTGTCTTATTAGGGGCCACCCATTCTCTGCTGAATTTCTTGTCAAGTTATCTTTCCCCCAGCTTTTAGGAAGCTGAGAGAACCATTTCTGTTATGCAAAGCCTCTGCAGTGGTTGGGTAGCTGTGATACCAGGTATATTGTACGGTTTCCTGAGTTTATGTAAATTGTGCTGCATTTTAGCAATGTTTTTAAGTGCTGCTGCTATGCTTTAACTGTTATGATTTAATCATTATTAATAATTTATTGTCATTAATTTTTTTAACCATGAGACACCTTGAATGCCAAAAGGGAATTATAGAATGCAGCTGAAATTAGATATAAATGAGTATAAATTAAGTGTGCATGATTTCTATTATTCTGTATAAAATTAACTCTTCATCTGCTAGTTATGAGCATGGCCTAAAGCCCCACTTTCTGATACTGAAAACTGCACCCTGCAACTTCTCTGTCTTCTGAGACTTTACTGGGCATGACCCATATACTTTTCAATCACCATCACAACATTGAGGGCTAGAAACTTGAGGTAAAAGACAAACCGTCACTTATACTCCATTCCAGTACTAAATTCTGTAATGTTTCTGCTGCCCCAGAAAAGCAGTACAGCTCTGCATATTACTATATTTCCATATCAGCCATTCCATTCTCCTTCCAGTGGAGAAACAAAACTGCAGATAACAAAGGAACTAGCCCCGGATGTAAAGCATCACTGTGGGAAAATCAGGTTGTTTGATGGAACTGCACGTTCAAAAACTCTTGGCAGCTGGTGAGGCTGGCTAAATGTTGCGGTTGCGATGCTTTGCCTGGAGTGATACAGTCAAGTCCTGTGGAGGTTTAGACAGCCGTAGCAGATAGATGGGGTGGTGGTGGACCAAACAGCTACAATGCCAGGTGTAGAATGTGCCCAGAATACTGAATGACAGAGATTTTACAAGGCTACCTGTTCAAACTAGACTGCTCTGCGACATGCTACGCAAACCACTATGGGAAACTGACATGCCTGACAGCAGCAGATTTCTGCCTGGGGGGAATTTGCCTGAGAAAGTGTAGGACAGATTTATAACTTTAAAGTGCACCAAGGGGATATAGTAAAAAAAAAATTAAGCACAGAATCTTCAGGGCAACCAAGGATGTGCAAATCATCTTTCCAAGAGAGGGGGAGAGAACAAATTTATTTAAGACCTAGATGCAAGTACAAGGCATCTGAGCCTGTTTGTTCGTTAAAGAATGCCTTTCCATTTGAAAGGGAGGTTAAGATATTATGGAAGACTCCAAGGGATAGCAGGTGCTCTCCATCAAAAAATATTTCCTGTTTCTCACTTTGCCCCCTACCCGCATTCAATTACAGTATATAAAAAATCTACAGCATGTTATTTACAAAGTTCTTGCACCCCTCAAAAAGGGTCTTCGCTACCTCTTCACTCAGAAGTGGACCAGGGGAGAAAGTGGGCCTGAAAAGCCCCCACGAGGCAATTGGTGAGCTGACACCAACGACTGCTGTTGATGGTTGGAGCCAAGTGACCTCTGTGACACTGGCAGAAACAGCTGGGCCTTGGCGCTGCTTGCTCTGGGCCACCAGCCATGCATGTAGGGCAGTGGTCCACTGGGAAATTTCCCTGTAAATTAAATGGCCAGTCCACCCCTGTCTTCATCCCTGCAAGTAGTTTTTGTACAGTTGTCTCTGCAGGATACAGTGAAGCTTTTTGATTTGCTGGCTTCTCTGTTTCTTACCTGCCATGAAGTTTATCCGAAATACTGAAATCCAGCCATGAGAGTAACCCCCCTCCCACAATGCATTTTCACTGGCCTCAAAATGCAGTCAACCCTGACAACAAGCATCTCAGCAGCAAGAAGTCAGTTTGGAGGGGGTGGGGGAGGGAACAGGTCGTGAGCACAAGCTGTACATTGGATTTAAAAGGGAGGACCTGGAATTGAGGCTCCTCTACGAACCTGTGAACCAACAGCACCAGAACTGGATTCCATCTGCACTGACTGATTCCAGGGATGCTTCTCTGCCAAGAAATAGTTCAGTTCCAACAGGGAATTTTGATGGCCTCCGTTCCCTGCTGAAACAGGTACTCTCTCCATAACAGAGAGCGGCAGTTTTGACTGGGCGGCTTTTGCACTTTTAAAAAAGAAAGATGAAAAATTTCCCCAAGAGTACTCTGTGCTAAAATGAACAGAACTTCTACCCAGCAGGGAGCCCAAATTCTGTGCCTTAAAACACAGACTTCTGAGAGCTGCACAAATTATAAGCAAGTTTACACATCATTATTTCATTGGTTGAACTTAATCTGCTTCTAGTTGTCATTGGGAGGGGCAAGGACTCCTACCGGGCACTATCAACCCCGTCTGCTAGAAATCTGCCCCCATCATCCTCTGGCTCTTGGGATATTACCTCAGGCTCTTGGGATTTTACAGTTTCTGCATTTATAAAAGTTATTTTTGTGTATTGTATTATGCTGCAGTGGCTCAAGTGGTTAAGACGCTGAACTGCAGCCTGTGGCAGGTCAGTAGTTCAGCAGTTCGAGACCGGGTGCCGCATGATGGAGTGAGCTCCCATCTCTAGTTCCAGCTCCTGCCAACCTAGCAGTTCGAAAGCAAGAAATTGCAAGTAGATAAATTGGTACCACTTCGGTGGGAAGGTAACAGCGTTCTGTGCGCCTTGGTGTTTAGTCTTGCCGGCCACATGACCACGGAAACGTCTTCGGACAGCGCTGGCTCTTCGGCTTTGAAACGGAGATGAGCACCGCAACCCTAGAGTCAGATTCGACTGGCTTTCGAGCAAGGGAACGTTTACCTTTACATATTTGCCAGGTTTGGATTTGATTGCTCTTTATATTTGTACTTAGCAACAAAGTAATGTCAAGATATTTGCTTCCCCTTCCCAAATGACAGCTGATGCTGAATCCTGTGAAGACTCACTGCCCTGCATAGATTCATTCAAATCATTGGTCCATCTAACCTGTTTTGACTTAACTTCTCTGCGGGGCTAACCTCTTCTTCCTTGGGACACAAACTTCAAGTAGCAAACAAGTTACGGGAAACAGCATTTTGGGGATAAAGGCAGCTGCTGCTACTGCAGCAGAAGCAATCAAGGAGCGGCCATGGCTCAATGGTAGAGCATCTGCTTGGCACGCAGAAGGTCCAAAGTGCAATCCCATCTCCTCCAGTTAAAAGGATCAGGTAGTCAGTGGTGTGAAAGACCCCCACCTGAGACCCCGGAGAGCTGTTGCCTATCAGAGTAGACAAGAGTGACCTAGTAGAAGGCAGCTTCAGGTGTTCATGATGGAGAGCGCAGATTTGAAAAGAAACACGACTCTTCCCCTTGCTTCCTTGTTCATAGCATGGTTTCATGCTTTGCTTTCAAGAACTTAAATTGCTCCTCATCGGGCATCTCTGTATTACCGAGCAAAACCAGTTAAATTCTGTGCTGCAGGGGCCTCTTAGCTTAGCTTGCTCCAGGGTTCTTTTACTGTTCCAATCCACTCCTGATTACCTCTCTGCTCCTTCATACCACTAACACTTTTCTACTCACTAGCCCTAAGATTTCTCTTCCGTCTCTACTGTTGGCCCTTTGCACTCTCTATTTCACTGCTGTGGGATGCCCAAGGTCTTGGCAGACATCTTCTTTGGTCTTGTTTATATATCTGGGTCCACAGATAAGGCTACCAGAATGAGGAATGGCTTAAAATAATTTTAATTAGAAGAGCAACCTGATCAAGAACAAACTAAGGGTGCATCTAAGCAATTCATGGGAGGCAACCAATCATGAAAATGTTGTGGGAGGGAAGTTGGAAGTCGGAAATCACATGCATTGTTTGTTAGCAGGGCTATTTTTGGGCAGGAACGCACAGGAACGGAGTTCCGGCTGGCTCCCAAGTTGGCCACGCCCAGCAGGAACTCATTAGCATAATAGGCCACACCCAACAGCAGAAACTCATTAGGATTGGCTACATTAGAGGTGTGTGGCCTAACATGCAAAGGAGCTCTTGCTCCAAAAAAGGCCCTGGGTTTAGACAACAAACAAGGTAAACAGAATAAGAAGCAAAAGATGGGTGTGGCTGGATGACCACACTTCTGATAACATGGGGGTGTGGCCTAATATGCTAATAAGCTATGCTGTCAGGGGTGTGGCCTAATATGCTACTGAGTTCCTGCTGTTGGGTGTGGCCTATTATACTAATGAGTTCCTGCTGGGCTTTTTCTACAAAAAGAGCCCTGCTTGTTAGATTGTAGCAAAGCAGGTTTGGGGAAAAGTTCACTGCAAACAGGGAAAGGAATGACTGGAGCATGATGTTGTATGGATGTTTCCCCTCCCTAAAGCACTGCAGTTTGGACACCAGGGCCCAGAAACACTTTTGTGTGAAAGTCACATAGGTGGTATAAGGGCTCCAGAATCAGTGTACCCACCAAGGGTGCTCACTGGCTCCCCTTCACCTGGAAGGTCTACAAAAACTTAGGGGTCAGGCTGGATCCTTGCCAGGGCAACACCAGTATCCACAGTAATGCCTGGACCGCACTCTGCAGCTGACACCCAGGATAAACAATGACTACATACACAAAGAGAGAGCAGTCCCCTGAAGATTAAAACGGTTGGATGAATTTGGGATACAGGAGCCTAAGGAGTTCTCTTTCTAAGTCCAGGATTTCAAGAGATAGTTGACAAGGAAGCGGAGCTTTGGCTATGGGAGACTACTCTTTTTTTTGCATCTGATTGACAGAATTAGTTCTGCGTAATAAGCTCCTTGATTTTAATCTGTCCACTAATACTGTCTTTGGCTTGATGCTCTTGCATTTGTGAGCAGTAGGAGGATGTCCGACACATGTCAGTATGTGTTTCCCCTGCTCGACCTGAGGGGTTTCATTTAGGTTTAGTTATACACGGCCTTTCAACCATCAGTCCCTGAAGTGGTGATACTCACGCTGCACCCAGTTCCCAGTTACTGGGCTGAGAAAGTTGGGATAGAGTCCCTGTGGTTTCTCGATTCTGTTCAGGACTTTGCGGATATTTGCCACCTATGGGGCCAAAAAGAAAGGTAGGAGACACATAAGACCTATTATAGTCATCCATTCAGAAATTCATTTTTTAAAAATCAATCCCTCCCCCCCCAAAATAAGAAGAAGATACCTGGTCATGCTAGTAATCTATCGGGTCTACAGACATGCTTGTCATTTGTTGGGGAAATTAAAACAAGGCATAAAAAAGCAGATAAAAGCAGTGAACAAAACCGCAGGGAAATCTCTAATAAAAACCACCAGATAAAATTAAGAGGGCAAAAAGAAAAAAAAACAACCATCTGCAGCTCAATAAATTCATCAATCATAATGCCTGGATGAGTAAAAGACACCTCACGGTGCCCAGAATTTGGCAAGTCAGGTTACAGGCAAACTGTCGTGGAAAAGATAATCCAGCACAGAAAATGTCCTGCCACATCCCCTTGCCAATGAGGGTTCGTGTTAGATAAGGAAACACCACTCCTGCCTACATGCTGGCCTCTGATGCTCATCTGAACTGATGGACAGGATCCTAATCACATATCTGGAAGGGAGGTGGGGGAGAAGCCACTTGGAAGTAGACTAGTTGGGGACAGCAGGAACTAAGGGAGGAGGGCAGAGGAAAGAAAACAATGAGCAGCGCAAAGGGAGCAAGAGATGGGGGGCGGGTGATCTGGAGAACAGAAAAACTGTGGAGCAGGAGTTTGGGGACTCCAGGCAGGAAACAGAGAAGGGAGCAGAGGCTACGTGGAGGGAGCCTGGGGAGCAGAGCTCAAAACTGGGGTCCAGGTGCAGTGGCAGAAGTAGCTATGTATACTGCCAATACATTTTAACGAGGGTTTATGAATATATTACCATCTGGCTGTTAGGAGGACAAAGTTTGAGTCCAGTGGCACCTTTAAGACCGACAAAGTTTTATTCAAGGTACGAGCTTTCGGGTGCACACACACTTCCTCAGATACACTGAAATGGAAGTTAACAGTCCATACATACAGGCAGGCGGTGAACAGCAAATTAGCATACAACATAATGAAGATGTTTTAACAGTGACGGAGGAGACATAACACTACACAACCATTCACCCCATCTCAAAGAAAACGTATGCTGTTAGTTACCTTCATACTTGAGACGAGAGGAGACGAGGGGAGCATAACAACAGGATCTCAGTTATTTACTCTTAGCATTCCACTATTAAGAAGGATACATTTACACATTAGTCTCCTATTTTGACATATTTATTTGCTCCACTGTTCCCCCCCCCGTAATTAAATCCAAACAAATGGTGACTGTATAAACTTAACTTGTTATTCCTGTTTGGTCTTTTTATCTGTAAAAACATCTTCATTATGTTGTATACTAATTTGCTGTTCACCGTCTGCCTATATGCATGGACTGTTAACTTCCATTTCAATGTATCTGAGGAAGTGTGCCTTGCACACAAAAGCTCATACCTTGAATAAAACTTTGTCGGTCCTAAAGGTGCCACTGGACTCAAACTTTGTTCTACTGCTTCAGACCAACACAGCTGTCCACCTTGATCTGGCTGTTAGGAGATTAGCTATTGTCTGGTTTTTCTCTCCCTGGTGTTATTATACATTTTTTTAAAAAAAAAATCAGATATTAACTGCTGCATCTTTATTGTTACTTTACATCCTTAGCTATCTCTAGGATCCAGTGTTTCCCAGCCTCTCCAACTGGTTTTAAAGACACCAAACCATAGTTAAGAGCTAACCAGGGTTAACATTTCACCTGCATCTGAAAAATTGGCTTTGCCCATTCATCACTTCCCCCACACACAGACTTCCATGGAGTCTCATGGGCAGGTTAATGACACGTTTGAACGTGTTAAAAGTCTCATAAGTCTCTGGCTGTGAGCTAATGAGTTCATCTGGTTTTCTGGAAAGCCATTTCCATCCAGATGGCTGTTCGCAACCACCTCCTCCTGTGCTCTATTTTGTCCCTTGGCTTTAGCTATACTGCATATGCTGGATGGGTGAATCCATTATGGGGCAGGTTCTCCCTCTTATTGATTAGCTTGGCTTGGTAACAGGAACAGGGATTTAATTGGCCTCTTCGAAAAGCATTAAGCATCAACCACCACCCAGACCCTTCCTCAGACATTACACAATACCTTAGGAACAAGTATTTGGGGGTGAAACTGAGGTTTAAATAAGGCCCTTTGTCTGAATCTAAGCTTTCATTCCCCACCACCAGCCAGTTTTATTTCTAGTTTTGCCTTTCCTACCCAGCCAATTTCCTTTCACATCTTCCTCCCACCCAGCCCTGCTTTCGTTTTATTCATCAGTGCACCTCATCAGTCTTATGTAACCATTTTCACACTACTCTGCCCATTCATTCCTTATCTTCTCTGTTCCGTTTCCTCGGTTTCCAACATTTCATTCATTCATTCACCGACTTTTGTGTCTCTCTCCTGATTCTCTCTTTTGCCCCAGCGAGAGATTCCCTCTTGCAAGCCCTTTGCATCTTGTTCTCCCTTCTCTCTCCCAGGAGCCTCTCCCAAACACCTCCCCCCCCATGGCTGCTTTGAAAGTGTCAGATATATCCTGGGAACAGACTGTTCTCAAACTGTTCCGTTGAAAACCCAAGGAGGACACAATTGGAGCATTCTGTGTCACAAGCGGTTCCTGAATGGATCTGCTCCCCTCATACTTGGAAGTGGCTTCCAATTCTAATTGGAGCAATTTGTCTCTCCCCGTGTGGGCTTTTTGAAGGAAGGGGCATGCATACACATGTGAGCCAATGATGGAATCCACTGGCATATGGAGTTTCTCTCACATATGGTTACAGGACCACTAGAACGAAGCCTCATAAAGAAAATCTGAGGGTTAGCAAAAATGCCAGCAATCCTCAGAAGGAGGAAGTGTTAAGATCCTCAGATGTAATGAGCATCCAGGGCCTCAGCCCTCACTCAGGGATACTAACAATTCTGTCTACAGCAGGAGAGGGGATGGCAATGCTCCGGCTTCCTCTCCACGTGGATATGGCCCACTGAAAGACTGCCAGAAAGAAAGAAAAAATTGAGGTATTATCAAAGTGGGTGTGGAGACCGTACTGTCTTTTCCAGAAACAGGGTCTTCCAAGAGCTTCAAAGTAAGACCTTCCACGGGAAGAGCTTCAAAAAGGAATTAGATAAGCATATGGAGCAGAGGTCCATCAGTGGCTATTAGCCACAAGGTATAGATAGGGACTCTGGGGCAAGTGATGCTCTGTCTTCTTAGTGCTTGGGGGGGTCAACAGTGGGATGGCTTCTAATGTCCTGGCCCCACTGGTGGACCTCCTGATGGCACTGGTATTTCTGGCCACTGTGTGATACAGAGTGTTGGACCTCAGCAGGGTATAATGCCATACAGTCCACTGGCCAAAGCAGCCATTGTCTCCAGGAGAACTGATCTTGGTCATCTGGACATCAGTTGTAGTAGCTGGAGATCTCCAGGTACTGCCTGGAGGTTGGCTTATGTTAACTTGGGGCGATGCAGTGGCAGCTAAGGTAGAAAAGCACCTCCTCCTATGCCATGTCTTCTGGGTTCCAAGAGTCTGGAAAACAGTTCCGTAGCCAGTTACAGGGTTGCCAACTCTCGGTTGGGAAATATGTGGAGATTTGAGGGGTAGAACCTGGGGAGGGACCTCAGCAGGGTATAATGCCATAGAGTCCACTGCCCAAAGCAACCATTGTCTCCAGGGGAACTGACCTTGGTCATCTGGAGATCAATTGTAATAGCTAGGAAATTTTCTGTAGGGGAAATGATGTGCTGTGATTGGGGAACACGGTGATTTCTGGGAGATCTCCAGGCCCCACAGGGAGACTGGCAACTCCAGTGACCATTTAAGGGGAGATTGGGATATGTATTTTACCTCAGGACACATTCAATGACTCCCAACAGCAACAGCAAACTGTTTAGAATGTTAGAGGCAAAGGCCAATCAGGCCACATATGCAAACGACCTCTGTGTTCCGACTGGCTTTGGGGGGGAGAGGAACAGCAAACTGTTTAGAATGTTGGAGGCGGGACTCAGGCAATGCAGCCAGTGGATAAGGACAGCTTCTGAGTGACACATCATGGAGCCAACTGATTTAGGAGCGTGTGGAATGTTCAGAAAGTGGCACCCCACTTCACAATTATATATAAGGAGGGATAGCATGATTCTGTATGCTAATTAAATTACAAATGATGCATTTTATGTTTTCAAAACAGCAAGATAAATTTCAGCTTGACAGTCATAGTACAATAGTTAGAGAGTGTTGGACAGGAAGGTAGATTGGGTGAGGAAAAAGGCCCCACCTCCCAACCCACCCTGGCCCCACCCCCGAAGAAGGGACAGAGGGAGAGGCAGACTGCCTGCCCCTCAAAGGAGGAAAATGGGAAGAGGCAGCCTGTTCCACCCAGCTGGCCGGGTGCCACCTCCTTCAGGTGGGCCCTTCTGCTGCTGGGTGGGCCCAGCCGGCGTGAGGGGGGGCATCAGTGAACATAGTGGCCAATCTGTCCTAACACCAGGAGATCCAGGTTCAGATTCCCATCTGCTATGGGACTGCACTGGGTGACCTTGGCCCAGTCATTTTCAGCCTAACCTACCTCAGAGGGCTGTTGAGGATGAACTGGAGAAGCAGGGAACAATGTATGCTGCCCTGAGTTCCTTGGAGGAAGGAGGGCACAAAACCACACCAAATAAACAAACAGAACAGAAAGTAAATATTGCAGATATTTCACTTCTATTATTAGTAGTATTAATATTATTAGTATCATTTTGATTTTCTGAATCACCCTATCCTTGCTGCTGCAGGGCTCTGGGCAACCTACAACAATAGACAAAAATATAAAACCACAAAAAAAATCAGATACACGAATAATACTAATATGACAGAATTAAAAGAATGAAGATGGCAAGCGGCATGTTACTTCGCAAACTGGATTGCCCGGCCAGGGGAGAGCAGGAACGAAACAAGTCTGGAGAGCGAGGAGAGGGTGCCATCCAGAGTGGAAACCATTACTGTGCTCAACCAAAACCCTGGCGGAACATCTCTGCCTTACAGGCCCTGTGGAATTGCATAAGATCCTGCACGGAGTTCCATCCTGTCAGGGCCAGGACCAAAAAGGCCCTGGCCCTGGTCGAGGACACCCGGATATCTCTGGGGCCAGGGACCACCAGCAGATTGCTATCCAAGGAGCGTAATGCTTTCCCAGGGACATACCAGATTTCTGTTTTCCCTGTGCTGGGGGAGGGGAACACGGGCGGGGGGAGCCTATCCCCTCATAGCTTCATAAAATAGCTGGAAAATTTGCATCTCTGGGGGTGGCAAAAAGGACAGGTAAGGAACAGGAAAGTACTTGCCTTTTCAGCATATACCGCATTCCCCGATAACTCTGAGAGGTGCAGGAATTCCAGGTGCAGGCTGCCAAATTCTGCCAAAATGCTGCTGCCCGCAGATGCCCATCCCCAGCTCCAGCTCATGCCACTGTAAGGGCAGGACAAAAAATAAACACCCAGTGAGTCTTAAGTATGCAACAAGAGCATTCCTGAATTGTTCCTGTGCACACCTGGAGTTTGTCTGTTCTGGTCCTACACCTGAAGAGGGCTGTACCACCAGGCTGTAGGAGGGGAGACGACATTTTCAATACTCCCCCATGTGAAACAAAAACCTTATCCACATGTGAGGAATTATCAGGTGGGGTAGAGGCTTTAGCTCACCTCTCAACATACTGCTTGACAGAGTTAGTTACATAGGGGAACTCTGAAAAAAATGTAATCACTCCTTGTCAGAATAAAGTGGTATGGTCCACTCTACCACTTCAGCATCTAATTTGCCTCATCCAGTGCACCTACATATCAGACTTCTATAATTCAGCATTTTTCAGATACTATTTTGGGAGCCCTAAGGTCAGGGCTTTTTTTGTAGAAAAAGCCCAGCAGGAACTCATTAGCATATTAGCCCACACCCATGACAGCACAGCTCATTAGCATATTAGGCCACACCCCTGTGTTACCAGAAGTGTGGTCATCCAGCCACACCCACCTTTTGCTTCTTATTCTGTTTACCTTGTTTGTTGTCAAAACCCAGGGCTTTTTTTGGAGCAGGAACTCCTTTGCATGTTAGGCCACACATCCCTAATGTAGCCAATCCTAATGAGTTCCTGCTCTTGGGTGTGGCCTATTATGCTAACGAGTTCCTGCTGGGCGTGGCCAACTCAGGAGCCAGCCGGAACTCCGTTCCTGTGCGTTCCTGCCCAAAAATAGCCCTGCCTAAGGTTCTTTGGAAGCTCTTCAGAAGACCGGCAAAAAGGGGCAAGCTTCCCTTCTGAACAGCTGACTCACAACTGTGGTTTGCCTCCCACCCCCCCACCTGCAGTGCCCCATTCCTTGGGGAGGGCTGGGGGGTGTTCCCAGGCAGGAGCAGCAGCACTTCACATGAACTGGCCAGTGCCTTGCGTGAACTTTGCATACTCTAAGAATGGTCTTCTGGAGCCCTCTGCAACAGAAACAGTTCCAGCGCCAAATACACAGCATTGTTGCCATGTGGAAGTTACCTTTAAGAACTGCAGCCACAGCTCATAACAAATGTGAGGCAGGCAGTCCTACGGTATTTTTAGTCAGGGATGCTACTCTAGGGTAGTCAGTCCCTCGCACATTCCAAATTGACTGGGTGCTTTTAACTGGCGATGGCCTAAGACCATTGACAAGGATTAGCTCTGGTTGGGTGGTCCACACATCTGCCTTTGTACAATGAAACCATGAGGGCCAAGAGAAAATGGGCATTTGCTCTATCCTGAGATACCTTCTGCACTCTTGAAGGTGCCACACAGATGGGACCTGAGAAAACAGAGTTCTGTATATGTGTGTTTTGCATAGAACAGCCTAGTGCAGATCAATGACAGATGCTCTTCCTAGTTCCATGAACTGCATAAATAATTCTGCTATCATGTGCACATTCCATGGGGACATGAATTTGTGCAGCAGCAACTTACAAACCATCAAGTCCAATGCACGCACACAGAAACCTGCCAGTCACTGGGAAGAGCCAGCATGGTGAAGTGGTTAGAGTGCCGGACAAAGACCTAGAAATTGTTGTTCAGTCGCACAGTTGAGTCCAACCTTCACAACCCTATGGACCACATTGCGCCAGGCCCTCCCGTCTTCCACTGTCCTCCGGAGTTTTCTCAATTTCATGTTCATTGCATCGATAACTCTGTCTAACCATCTCATCCTTTGCTGTCCCCTTCTTCTTTGACCTTCAATCTTTCCCAGCATCAGGGTCTTCTCCAGTGAGTGCTCCCTTCTTCTTTGGTGGCCACAGTATCTGAGCTTCAGCTTCAGTATCTGACCTTCCAGGGAACAGTTAGGATTGACTGATTTGATCTCCTTTGTCCTGGCCCCACTGCTGGACCTCCTGATGGCACCTGGTATTTTTGGCCACTGTGTGACAGAGTGTTGGAATAGATGAGCCATTGGCCTCATCCAAAATTGGCTTCTCTTATGTTCTTATGTCTCATGAGTCTTCTCCAGCACATTCATTCGAAAGCATCTATTCTTCGGCACTCGGCTTTCCTTACGGTCCAGCTCTCGCAGCCATACATTACTACTGAGAATACCATTGCTTTGACCATACGGACTTTTGTTGGCAGGGTGATGTCTCTACTTTTTATTATGCTGTCTAGCTTTGCCATCGCTTTCCTCCCAAGGAGCAGGCGTCTTTTAATTTCATGGCTGCAGTCACCATCTGCAGTGATCTTGGATCCGAGGAACATGAATTCTGTCACTGCTTCCATGACTTCCCCTTCTATTTGCTAAGGAGTGATGGGGCCAGATGCCATAATCTTAGTTTTTTTGATGTTGAGTTTCAAGCGAACTTTTGTGCTCTTCTCTTTCACCCTAAGCAAGAGACTCTAAGCAAGAGACTCTTCACTTTCTGCCATTAGAGTGGTATCATCTGCATATCTGAGGTTGTTCATGTTTTCCCCGGCAATCTTAGTTCCAGCTTGTGATTCATCCAGGCCGGCATTTCTCATGACGTACTCTGCATATAAATTAAATAAGCAGGGTGACAATATACATCCTTGTCATACTCCTTTTCCTGTGCTAAACCAATCAGTTGTTCCATATCCAGTTCTAACTGTTGCTTCTTGACCCTTATACA